CGAATACAACCTCTTCCTTTTTTAAGCCTCACTTCTGGGATACTAGTAAATTGGGCTATGGTCATAGAGTCAGAGACTTTGAGCGCCAAGAATGGGTGTAAGCCGGCTTTTAAGTGTTTCAATCATACGGCTGATTTGGTACCAGCGAAAGGTTTAGCAGGTAGTTTGGACTGATTCTGAGATACCGGTCTGTTATGGCATCTGGATGAGGGTATGCTGATATTTTGAAAATATTGCTATGACGCGGCTGAAGTCGACTACTTGTGTTCTTACACGAAGCTGCCTGCATGCGGGAAGATGCTTGTGGTCGAGACAGTGGTCTACTTAAAAATACATTAGTTAAGTGTGACAAAATGTGGTTATCATCTAGCTTGTTGACCAAAACAGTTAATGTAAGTTAATCAGTTGAACACAGCCGAACTGGTGCTGAATAAATGCGCATCCATTTTGGCACTCTACTGGCTGTGACCAAGTGCGGTTTTATACGGGATACAACTCATCGGTCATTTGAGGTCGACATCCTTCAATATTTCCAGCAGTGGAAAACAAGGTTGTTGACTCTCACCTTTCCATTTCTGATTCTGTATGGAGCTATTTATGGAAATTGCGTTCAACGGATGCGACATAGGTGAGGAATTGCTTCCACCTGATGGCCTTCGCGCCGATGTTGCCCAATCTGTGAAAATGTACAAAGTTGTCAGGCAACACTACCTGTTAATGGTTTCAGGCTATGCTTCGCACCGACATGAATTAGCAGAGGCCAGCACTTGCGCTGGCCCTTGGTAGGGTTCGCCTAGAACGTTTTCAGACATTCGGCTCCCTTGGTAGCACCCGTGGGACAGTTGGTGAGGTCACAAACCGTACAGCAGAAGACCGACGTGCTTTTGCTAATTTTGCCGGCGCGAAATCACTCCCTAGCTGAAGGTTGGAGTCTACAAGGCTGCCATCCGCTCAACAGTTTCGTACAATTGTGAAACCTGGCCCATCAGACTGACAGACATAAAGTGGCTAATTGAGTTAGATCACCAGTGTCTTCGAGGTGTAGCTCATCTCTAGTGGGTGTACCATGCGAGGAATGAGCATACTTGCAGCAATGTGCTTAACGCATGAAGTGCGGGTGAACGATCCGACGCAATTGTTGGATTCACCAAGTTCCAGTGGGTTCGCCTTGTATTACGCATGCCAGCACACCGACTCACGCGACATGCGTTATCTGCACTCTCAGGTCTGAGTGATAGAAAGATAAGAGCGACCAACTGATGACTTACTCAAGAGGAATTAAAGATCTCACTTCCAACCTGGCTCGGTTGCTGTTTCCCGGGTTGGGGTTTGGAAGACCATGAACACATTTGACTGGAGAAACTTGTGGATATGACGCACAGCCGAAGTCAATAACCTTGCTCTATGATTTTGTTTATACTTACATTTACCCATTAACCACGAACTCAGTCTCGACGCATAATATGAAATACATCACAGTGATATCTTGATTTGCTTTGGTTATGTGTTTTCAGGTTTCCCCCACGGCATATTACATAAGGCGTCTCTTACCTCTAGGTAATATGTAGTATTGTGATGATGCTGCACAGAGCAGCTCAAGTATCCGTGATTTTGACAACGCATACTTGTTTATGCTTACAACATTAAACTATACTTCGCCAGCTCTGAGAACATAATCGAATAACCCTCCCCATTTTCGTATTTCAGGAGTTTGATTCCGGGGCTTATCACTGCACTGGTCGCCTATCCGACGGGGGCTATCTTCGTACAAGTTCAAGACCACATTTTTTGCTTGGCAACGGAACTGGCATAGTTCTAGGGTACCGCACTTCCGGCAACCCTAATCTTTGGTATACTGGTGGGCACACAATATATTTACATGAGACTATTCATCTACGGTGTATCTCTTGGACAACCGACCATGAAATGCGATATGCTGTGCAGCTACTTGTCGGCCAGAAAACATCTGTACCGGTCACACGAATGACTCACACGAGCCACCCGGAAGGTCTCATAGTACAGAGTGTAGATTATACTGAGGTAGCCTCCCTGAACACAAAACTGCAACAGATAACTTGCCTCACAGTAAGCCGGAAACACAAGAGTCATCAACGTGTTGTCGTTACTCTTCCTGGTGTAGAGTGTAAACCACCGAGTGAAGTTACTTTTGAACCCTCGGTACTGAGAGCACTTCGTCAATCCGAGGAAGTACGATGTTTCGCTATTCAAACATGCATTGGGTTGCACTACAGGTGGCAGTGGTTAGCGGGACCGATACCGCAGAGCACAGTCAGTGAGGGCAATCTGAATACCATTATTAGCATCAGTGGAAACAGACTGCCTGTATCTTCTCTGGGTTCAAGCGGAACGTACATTTTCACGTGTGTCGTCACTTGTACATGCGGGGTAGTTACCCACACCATTTCGGCTAATCGACAAATTACAGTGCTGCCAATGTTGAGCTCTGGAAGAGAGAAGCTGGATGACAGTGTGGCACATAGACATTCCCAGTATCAGAATCCTCCTAATTTAAATGTACTCACGACGCAGCACGTGAACAATCAGGCTGTAATCAAGAGCACACCAAAACCTAACGCAACGATAAAATCGGAAATGGTTGCGATATCAAGGAATTTTGAGAAACCGGTTGAGTCGAAATTTTTAGACTGTCCATCATCATCTCACCTTGAGGAGCAAAAACCTAAGGCCCACACTTTGTTTCTCGGCTCCCCGAATCGCAACACTGTAAGGCATTGTGATCTCTGTGCCCTCCGACGAACGCATCAGCAACTCACTGCTATAACCTTACCGGATAGGAGATTTCGGCGTTTCGAACAACATGATGAACCCTGGTATGTGTGGCGATATAAGTGGAGGTTGCCTGGCGATTCACACCAGCTCAGCAATACGGTTAAAGGTATGTATCGTATTCTACTGTATCTACGTCAGGCCAAAGGCCGTGATCACGGGTGGCCTCCGAAGATGGGGCATGAGCTGACGCATGATAAGGAAGGAAATAGGCCGACAATGTCGGAACCGTTGACAGAAAAGTGCCGTCAACAAGCGATATATCCTCAGACCATTGACAAAAGTGAGGGGAATTCACATGTAAGCATAACTGACCAGCCAAATGAGAATGAGTATCCGCCGTGGAATGGTAGACAAAGTAGGCGTCTTTGTTCTGTAGCTGGAGAACAAGATCGATTGGGTTCGCATCCCACTCGTACTATGTGTCTTAGAGAGAGGCATAACAACAGTAGGTATTTCCGGTCAACCTCACATGGCACAGGACGGCTTTTGCCTGTGTCAAGCAAACGTGGTCAATGGGAGGGTGTAGAAGGCTCCCGACGTAAACAAAGAAGGCTTGTGCTCTCAATTGGAGAAGCATATCCGGTAGATAATATAGACTGGACCGGCGAGGAACCGCTGCCAACTGGCCAGTTTGTCTCCTTAGATACATTGGTTGATAACCAACTGAGCATGACTGATTCCCGTAAAAATGTGAAGAAGCCGCTATCGCGACACAAAACCAAGTACAGTAGAAATATTACCGGCAGACAGGAGCGAATCTTGGCCCCAACTGACCGAATCAGGCAGCAGGAACAACCGGAACTCATCAGACGCACTGAGTGTTTGAGTTTGGAGCATCCATTTAATTTGCATACTTTACCGCAATTGAAGGAACAATTGTCGCTGCAAAACTGTGTGGAAATAGGTGATGTTTCTAGTTCATTTAGCAAACCCTTATTAAATGATACGCAATTCGGTACGAGAAGATGTCAATTCATGGAGAGGCAAAGTTTGGAGGTGTACTTACATGAAAAACACTGGGGGAAAACCCCCTGTTGGAGAAACCTGGTTACTCGGAGTGAAAGTAGACTCCATCACATACCCAGGAATACATTGCACAGGTCTGAGCAGGATAAGAGCGATGCAAACTCTGAACATACCACTCCATGGGGACAAAAAGAGCGCTCCGAGACTTTGCTTTCCATAACACAAGGAAAGGAGGACAGGCAAGACTTAGAAGACCTGCAGCCATTATCTGAGCTGCTCATACGACCCAACTTTATCCAGCTACCGGGAACCGTCACGGTTCTCTGTCCCAGCGAACCACCCACTATAACAGATAAGCACTGTGTCGAAATCCAGTGGTACCGTTTGAGCACTCTCAGTGGTGTTAGAACCTTTCTTGCAGCTATCTCCTTGGAGCAAAGAAATATACGTACACGACGAATGGGTGAATTACGCGTTGAAGTAGCTTTATCCTATCCACCCCACAAAAGACCACATTGGTACACACTAGACCTAACACACCTTCAGCTACATGACTACGGGTATTATACTTGTGTATGCCGATACCATTCGAAGTTACCTGAAAGTGGTGAATTGCAAGTTGTAAGAAGCTCAGTTAGACCACTGTGTATTCTGGCTGAGCAGCCTAGGCCGGAGATTAGGATTGCACGTTACACTAACGACAAATTACATGAACTACATGTTAGCATAAACACCACCAGTGGAATCAACGCAAAACAACACCCGCTCATTCGACACACCCTCGAGTGCTTCAGACTCGGAGACTACGTTGTCGTGTACTGTGAGACAGCACCGTATCGTGTATTCTGTGAATTAGAGGACGAGATTGCCAATGGATCGCGACTGATTGAAACACGAACTTACGCAAGCTTTTATTTTAAACTTAATCGAATGGAATGGCACAAAATAGATCTGGCAAAAGCAAGTACCCACATTCCATCATTATGGAACGTACGTCCTAAGGTGTTTGCAGCGGAGTCAAGCACTTGGCAGATGCGTGTTACAGAACAACAGAATTATGGTTTTCTGGTGTGCAACTCACTTCCAAGAGTTCGTAAACCGTTGCTCAACCAATTTCGCTATTTCAACTGGTTGGCACAACAGCTTGAGCCAACCCGGGTCGCTAGCAGTACACGCAGGTCGGTCGTTGTGCGTCTTTGTATAACTGCGCCAGAGAATATGATGTACATTCACCCAACGCCAAGCATTGGAAAGGGGCGAAGGTTAGGTATAGTCAACCTCGAACCAAAACACACGATCAGTTGCTCAGCCCCTCACAACTCCGTTAGATGGATGAACATGACGATATACCCGGTCGTGGAGGACAAACTAAAAGTGGCCGAAGAACATGGCTTGGTTGCCTTGTCCGAATGGATAGACAGAGCAAGAGCTTCTGTCCACTGGCTACAAAACATGCGTCCAAATCACATAACGGCCTTTGTTCCAGCAAGTGGTCAGTCCAGTGGTCCTCATTTCGTCACGTGTGCAGTGCTCGGAACCAATCTCAGCCGAGTAAGTTCAATGCGAAATCTGTGTCTTTCTATAAGCAACTGCACGAATAGTGTTAATAAGTAAGCTTGATAAAAGATCAAAATAACATGTTGTTCATTCAGGTTCACGCGCGCATCAATTCATCCTCTCACTGAGGGGGTACATGAAAGCACCAGCAACGACAATCATTGGTCATGGGACATTAGACAATGGGAATCCCCGGATGTAAACACAGGGATAGATGTATGTGCAAATGGGGGACAGGTATGCTCCCGAGTAGTTTGACACATTGGTGTTAACGGAAGGTAGATAGGGATGTGAGCGTCAGTGCTAGAGGTTAGCAACAGTACGTCTGACTGTAGCTGTTTAACCAAGGATGAGGTATTTGGACGTTCTCCCTCAGCCCCCAATTAACAGAGCTACTGACGGAATAACGTATCATTGGTTCGTATTCTGACCCGACCGATAACCCGTATCAGTGTGACAAAGTTCCAGCGCTTGTCTGAATGCCTGGCAAACATTTGCTTCATATGTTTGTCTTATGCGATGGTTGGAAGTAGAGTTGTAATTTGAGTATGTTGTAGACACTGAGGACTAAGTACATTGTGTGAAGTGCTGGTATTACACCCCTTAGACGTTATCCGGTCTTTAATTGAATGAATGCTCAATTGATCTTTCACAAGAAAAAACGGCATAATGGTTTCCAGGTAGAGGTAGCTTCGCAACTAACTGCGAAAGAATTGCACAGCCTCACACAGTCTGATGGTGAATGGCAGCCGGTTCCATGGAGAAGCATATATGGTGCTACGGAAGTTAAACCACAAATTTGTCATGCATCGTGGTGTAATCATGCTAAGGTCTTTGTTACCCAAGTCTCGCGCGTAATTGTGCTTCAGTATTAAGGTGAATCGATTGCAAGGGGTATTGCCATGAAGCAGATTGTGCAGCAGTATCACGTCATCTTTGAGTCTTCGCAGACAAGGCGGATCATGATGGAGTTGCTGGCATCGCTCCCGAGTTTATGATAGAATTATTTCCCAATGCGTGCTTAGTAGGTCCCCGTTAAAGGCTTTCTATCGATGCTCTGTGTGATTTTCTCATATTGCTTCAGATTATGCTACGATACTCCAGGATGGGACGATTAAGGATTTTAAATAGTTCAACTGTAGCTGTGATTGTATATGTGTTATGAGAGATGTTAGTGAAGCATTGTCTGGCTCGTGATATCTTATACTCAATCTGTTCTAACAACATGAAGATACAAGAATATTTGATTCCCAGATCACGGGTAGACCACTGTCCACAGATGCGTTCGCCGCTGCGTGGGATAGATACTTCGGGTGTCAAGCGACGGCGACATATGATACTTGCCTGTTGTGTATAAAACGTCAACAACCACTTGTCGCACCAAGTCTCAATCGGATGAATGCGTCGTAGTACCTTCGGAAGTTCAACTCGTCGGTACTTGTGGACAGATGTTATGTCAACAACAAATCAAAACGGCACACCATGTTCGTTAACCAAACTGCTATCATTGACACAAATAAGAGAAATTAATTTACTGAGCGTACATCCTTTTTAACCCTGCTAGTAATTGGACAAGCGAAAAGGCACTACTCTCCTAAGTGGATGATTTTAGTGCTGGCGTTCATATATGATGATAGTCAAACCATTAAAGTGTTCCGGACTTCAAAGAAGTCATGTGTTAAAATTTGCGCACCAAATCGTCAACCCTCGGTAGCTCAGTGGTAGAGCAGCGGACCGGAAAATCGTGGACCGGGGTTCGACTCCCCGTCGAGGCACATTATTGTGCGTGCATTTTAATCGTGAATTCTACTCGTTACGAACTTTACACTTCTCACAAACATTCACCATAAATCTATCTGAATTGGTAACCGTCTGTGAGGCACCCGCTCGATTGTTTGCTGTATGTCCAAGCATAAAATTAATATGGCATATTTTGAGTTAATGGAGTCTGTTATGTAGTTCAGGTAATGCAGCTACCAGGATGTGTACGACCGTCAGCCAAGGAAACCATTTTAGGATCTGTCTATCAGCTCCAGTGAGTTGCTGAATTTTCTCACAGTTTTTACCAATTTTACGAATAATCCGGTTATTATAGGAGTGTTATGGCTTGGCCTGTAGTTCTCAACCTCCTGTTTTGCGCAGCTATTGTGGCGAGGGCTGACAAATGAAATCTTCCATTGAGCTGTAAAGTACTTGGATCCCAGTGAAGCGGCAAATATAGAAAAAGGAGCAGTGACATGTCAGACCCTCCCAGTTTCATGGCAGATGGGGGATGCAATCAACTTTCAGAATTGAGCACGTTGAACTGAATGTGTTGCTTGGTGGATATTGCGGAGAGCAATAGCGCTTTAGATGGAGTCTTAGTGCAATTATAGAGTTAGTGTCAATTTTCATGTAGGTGGAGAAGAACGAGCTAAATACTTCACAGATGGCGTCTGGATGTCGTCCATCAGTTCAGTGATCAATGAACAGCGTTTGTTGGTTCGCCAACGGAGAAATCTGATCAGCTCTTTTGTTTTTACATATCATTCGTAGGGTTGCTTGGTGTCCATGTATTCTCCCCATCAATTGTAAGTAGTTGATTTCAGAGATATGTTAGTGCATCTGTAGAAGTATTGTAAAATATCTCATGCCTTTTAGCGCGCGATCGGTTTGCTAGATTTCGGACTCATCGAACGTTCCACTGCATCTTGTTACATGTCAATGATTCTTTTTGTGTGTGTGCACTAACGAGGGTTACGACTTGATGAACCTAATGATAGAAGTGCTCCACGACAGTGTATACATTATTGGAAAGAAAGAAGGCGTCTCAATCGCATGACCGGATTATATGACGGAAGGGTTTCCAGTTAATACTGCCGCTGGTGAAGTGGGAAGGAGGTACTTGTTTGGTGGTCATTTTAACGATGAAACTTAAGAGCAGCATGTTGCCGTGGCTACCAGGGATGTTCTTGGGAACGTTTCTCTTTACGTTGGCCATACCCAATGTAAACCTCAAGTCTAGTGCGTTCGTCAACCTAGTTGGTATAGTAACCCACTGTGTCCAACCAACTCTGACTGAATCAATGAAGGCTCTGTGTATTGAGCAGAAGGTCTGGGAAGGCCAGTGTATCTTCGGTAGGTTGAAAGCACCTACAAGTATCCTTTGTTTGTGTGTCAATTCCGATGCAAAATCGAAAGCTGACGTGATACGGACAGCATTCATGGTTGATGAATTTGGTGGGTTGCGGATAGATGCAAGCAAACCGAGGCTCATAAGACGGAGAACCACAGAGCATCAGGGACATTTGCCAGTAACGAATGCTCAAACCGTTCAGCTGTACATATGTGATTGAGTTACATGAAGCACGCTCCACCTTTTATTTTACAGCGATCTTTAAGAAAAAGGTGTTAAAGGGTGGCAATTGGATTAAAGTGTAAAATATCAACGAGGTGCCACGTTTCGGTAACGAGGATTGCTTGCAGCTTGTTTAAATGTGCAAGAATGATTAGGAAATACCGTTTATTGATAATCCATCTGGCGTCAGTCAGAAGTAATGAAAACATACAATAAATGCTGGAATCAGCCTTCGCGTCACTGCTGTGTGAGGTATGGTAATCGCGGATTTTTGCGTGGAAAGTATGTGTGGGAGCATTGGGAACAAGTCGATTGCTAATAACCTTGCGGGTAGGGGTAGTGTGCCATCCGCGATCGCCGGTATACCTTGTGAAAGGAAGGGGTTAAAGTATCAAGGATACATTGCGTTTGACTTGGCGATGAGTTTGTCTGATCATGTGAAGAAATTGCAGAAATACCGGTGCATATATTTGGCATCTGCCACGTATGTAGGGAGGTTGAATGGCCGCAGATCCAATCACATGGTTGGCGGCATCCGGTTTCGGATTTGCCTGTCACTGTGGCAAGCCACAGGACGCCTGCGCCTACAGAGGGATCATATATCTATATATATCTTGTAAAGTTTCTACTGCATTATCTCCTGGCACAACTCCATGATGTCAGCCACACGAGCGCTTTCCAACACCTCGTCTCGTAATATCCCTGTATCCGTCTACATGAAATGTGAAACCGAGGACATGGAAAATGTGCTCCGATAGGCCCGCTGATCCTATACCTTGAGTGCCTGCTCATTTTCGTTGCATTCCGGATGAGCTAAAGCAAAGAAGAACAAAACTGACTTTTTAACCTCACATGGCTAGCATCACAGTTGTCTCGTGCTCCTTCAGTTCAAATACGCTGTGACTGCGACGGGTTTTTTGAAAACGGTGACGTATTGCTAAAATAATATCATGACAACACTCCACGTTTTCGTTAACCAAACGCCCGTTCAAAGGGAAGTCAGAAGGAGTCCAGTCCAGTTATCCCCTCATGGAATACAAATAACAACGCATGAATCGAACACAGGTATTCTAGGCCCATGATCCTTACCAGTCTGGAAGTCATAAACGACTCTCAAAACGGGATCGTCACAATGATTATAAATGCAGATGGAGCCTCTCTATTACATCCAGTGACTCGACTACTAGGCTCAAGGCTTCTTCAATCGCATCACTCGACAACGGAACACATCACTTTGCTGCAAAGGTTGCCGTATTGCTGAATGCTACAATATCGCCGAAGCCACAATGGCCGAGTCAATAAACAGTGGCGGCGCACGAAGTTCACTCGGGTAGTTCAGGTAAATACGGAAAACAGTCAAACGTTGTTCTCTCATTTGCCGACGTCCCTGTAGCTTGTTGTGAATAATTTACAGCGAGAGTTGCGCACGCTGACCCTGATATAGACAAATATTACAGGCAGCCAAGCAAGCAGTCATTTTTGCACGCAGTGACATACATTGTTGACGACGCGCAAGCTAGGCCGATACATGTTGTCATCAGCAAGCCGCGAGATCCTGAAGCCTCGTTGGACAATGACTGGCTCCAAAACGCATGCTTACAATGCACTTATAATGCTTGCAACAGTACAATACGTAAGCAGCGTCTATGGTGAAGCG